TTATCTTCAATTCTCGCTGTCTGGCTTCCTCGCAGACGTGAATGAAATAATGCAGCCCCTAATGTATGCTTTGGCACAATCCCACAATATCAGGGGTTTTTGTTGTGGTATTGGTATCTAGGTATTTCTTGAGCTTCTGTATATATTCTATCATTGCGTAGAGATGTATTAAGTCTCCATTTAATTGTTTGTCTATGTCCTAAATCCTATTTCAGTGAGACAGGTGCAGAAATGGTGATAGGCAATATCTCTATGTCTACTATTCTATGTAGCTCTACCTTTGGGTAAAAAGTGAAGTCCCTGCTTGTTGGACACTTACATGGACACCATACATCCACAAGATCTACTTCTACAGAGGGATATTGGAGCATTTTACTCATTTTATTTATTAGCTGCAACATTATACAGTTGAAATCACCTCCCATCAGCAGCAGACCAGTGCTGTACTTCAGTACCATATTGAAGAGTGGCCTAATAAATCCAGGCTTGTCTTCATTAGGTGTGTAGAAATTTATTAAGGATATTTCTATACCGTTAACCAGAACATATCTCTCCTCTGTGTCTTTAGGTATCAGTGTTTTTGTGAAATTAAGTTGTCTGTGTATAATTATTAGATTTTTCTTAACAGGATTAAGGAGGCCCTTCACATTATATCTTATAATTTTTAGTGTACCTATTACTCACAGTAAGTGAGATATACTTTGAATCCCTGATAATCAGAGCAAGGGAGGAGGGATAGGTGGCGGAAGTAAAAATATCGCACATGGACTGTGTCTGTGTAGATAATGGAAACAGACTGAGTGGGATGAACGAAAATTGTTACAACAGCTGTACAAGAGTTTGTTACCTTCAACCACAGCAATGAAAATGTCATGAAAAAATGATAACCTTCTTTGTTTCCTGTGTTATTTTTAAGTTTAACACAGGATCCTGGGGGAACAAAGGGATCAGGGCAGAGTTTTAGGAGTTCATTAAAGTACAAAGCGTTCGGTTAACAGTATGTATGGCTCCAAGAGGCTTTTTTGTAAGTTTAGAGAGGTTACATCTGCCTACCAAATTTCATAAATCTAGGTGAAACGGATGCCGTGGGCAGCTTTTTAAAAACAATTTTCGGGGGAGATATTGAGCCAGTATCCCTCATGGCAGTTGCTGTTCAGGCCCTAATAATCCGAGAAAAAAAAAAGGTTCAGAGGAATGACAGCCAAAAGATACTATGGCTACTAGGGTGCTAAATTATGTCAACTGTGTGGCACAGTTCACCCTGTTTATTAAACCCATTAACATTCTAATAGTAAACAGGGAGTCACAGCGTATCAACAAAATATGCAAATATAAGTGTCACTTATCATCGCAGGTTTCTACTGTTTTGTGTAAAATCACCAGCTGTGTGGTAACAGTACACACAGAAAAAAGCGACATAACGTTTGTAGAATTAGATAAAAAAAAGACACATAAGATACACACACTAAAAAACAACAATACACTATTACAATATTACATTACAATAAAATAACAGACAATTAAAATTTATAAAATTTATAAAATACCCTAGCCCAAACTATGAGCCTTTTCACAAAATAAAGAAAAACCAACCCTAACTAGAAGCTTTACTAAAAAGCCTACTCTTAAATATGGAAATGTTGATTGCTTCCCGAACCCAGACAGGGGTCTGATTTCACAGCCAAGGTGCCTGATGGCTGAAGGCTCAGGTTCAGGTTCCTTTATTTATACCCGTAGGTAAATTACGTTCCAGAGAATAAGTTTAGGCTGTTTCTCAACCATATAAACAATAACACCATACAAACACCACAAGACACTAAAATCACACTAAAACAATCTACTCCATCTTAATACTATTCATAAAACTAATCCCTACGGGAACAAAGCTGTTTTTATGTCGTTCTGTTGTACACCGCAGTACTCTAAACCGTCGGTTGGACGGCAGATACTGGAACTCATAATACAGCGGATGAAGCTGGTCACTCAAAATTGAAATACTCATGCGCTGTACCTGCCTATTATACAGCGAGGCTGGGTTCAGTAGTGGTTCTCCAATCAACCTACTGGACCATTTCACAATCTGGTTAATAGAGTTCCGACTCTTTAACGTTAAGTTCCCGTACCAAGATACCAGAGAAAAGGAGAGTACGGATTCAATAAAAGCACGATAAAACATAATCAACAGTGTTTTCTCAATTTGAAATTGACACAATTTCCTTAAAAAGAACAGACTCCCATTCTACATCTAGAGTCCCCCGGCCCTACAAGTAGCCCTGCATTTTGGGAGCGCAGTGTTCTAGTGGGGCAGTATGGTGTAAGGAGTTCTCATATAGGATGGTGCCTGACCATTAAGGGCTTTGTATGTAAGAAGAAGTATTCTCAATTTTACCGGGAGCAAGTGCAAAGTTACTAAAACAGGGGTGATATGATCTCTCCTGCTTGTTCTAGTCAGAATGCGTGTAGCAGTGTTTTGTATTAACTGGAGAGACTCAAGAGATTTTTTTGAGCAGCCTGAAAGCACGGAGTTACAGTAGTCAAGCCTTGAGCTAACAAATGTATGGACAAGTTTCTCTGCATCATCTCGATGCAGAAGGTTTCAAATATACACAATGTTGCGAAGGTGAAAATAGGCAGTTCTTGTAGTTTGCTTTATGTGTGAGTTTCTCACGGTGGTGCTGGAGGCCATGGCAATGCCATCCAAAGCAACTATGTCTGCAGACAATGTGTCTCGGAGGTGTTTGGGTCCAAGTACTACAACCTCAGTTTTTTCAGAGTTCAACATCAAGAAATTATAAGACATCCAGGTCTTCACATCCTTGATGCACGTTTGAAGCCTAGCTAACTGGGTGGTTTTGTCAAGTCTGATAGAAAGGTATAACTGAGTGTCATTAGCATAAAAATTAAAATTTATACTGTGGTTCCTAATGATATTACCCAGCGGAAGCATATATAAGGTGAATAATATAGGTCCAAGGACAGAACCTTGTGGAACTCCATGAGTGACTCTGCTGTGCAGAGAGGACTTATCGTTTACATGTACAAACTGGGTGCGATCTGATAAGTAAGATTTAAACCAGCTTAAAGCAGTTCCTTTAATGGCGATTAAGTGTTTAAGTCTTTGTAGTTAAATATGGTGATCAATTGTATCAAATGCCACACTTAGATCTAGCAAGACCAATACAAAGACTAGTCCCTTATCTGATGGAGTTAAAAGATCATTAGAGATTTTTACCAGTGCTGTCTCTGTACTATGATGCATTCTGAAACCTGTAAGTTGTTGCTATGCAAAAATTCACTTTGTTTTGCCACAGTTTTTTCAAGGATCTTGGATATAAAAGGAAGGTTAGATATCGGTCTGTAACTGTCTAAAACCCCTGGATCAAGAGCAGGCTTTTTAAGAAGTGGTTTAATAACGGCTTCCTTAAAAAACTGAGGTACATAGCCTGCTGTCAAAGAAAGGTTGATAATATTTAACAAAGCAGTGCCAGACTCACTAATGTAGCTGTTTCTTCACCACAGTCCATTTTAAACCACATAAAAGATGTTCAAGAAGTTCATACAAAGGCATTTTACAACATTCACAAGGGAAAACCGCTTCTCCTGGTGATTATGGACCCTCGACAAAATGGCCCGCTGTTATGGCAGAAAATTGTTTCCTCTTATTTAATCTTTTATGAATGTTCTTTTATTTTATATATATATATATTTTTTTTTTTCTCCTATCCTTAACTTTTTTGTTATTATACTCTGTCCGCACTTGTAGACTTTAGGTCAGAGCTGTGATATTGTTTCAGTGTTTTCCTTACTTGTTGTTCCTCTCTTCTACTTGCATGTTCATTCAAGGCCAGGAGAAGATCTCTATTCCCCAAAACATAGAAACCTAGACTGTGTAAATAATTATGCATCCCTTTGCTCGGGGCCAGACGCCCAAAGCTGCCCTGCCTACTTTTTTGCAGCAATGCTTTATTTCGAGTTGAATTGAGAGCTTTTACTTTGACTTTGCATGACGCACCTTTGAATAGGCGTCAGGAAATCAAGCGCGGAAATTTCTTCTGCCTGGAGATACTGGGTAAATTAAAAAGCGTCCATAAGTTGACGGATGTGGATCTAACGCCGAAAGGCACACACTGCAGCACATACTTTATTGTGAGCATGTGAAACAGTCGCTTCATAATCAATTTGAGGGAGAAATATAATGTCTCCCAACGTGGGATCGAACATGCAACCTTCTAGGTGAGTCTTGCGCTTTAGGTAGGTAGGTAGGTATGTAGATTTATTTTGTCACAATATAACAGGTATAAATTGAGTTCATAACTTCCTTCTGCTATGTAACAGACAATATAGATTAACACAGAAGCAATTATAAATATGGTAAACAGAAATAAACTACATACAGTGTAGCAGTGCTGAGGATCAATTGGAGTTTAAGAGCCTGGGGTAAAAAGCTGCTCTGCAGTCTGGTGGTACGGCAGCTGAAACTTCTAGATCTCTTCCCAGACGGCAGCAGGGTACTGTCCTTTAGTATCCTTTGGGCTCTTTGGTAGTGACGAAACGCACTCTGTAGAGCAGTTTGTCCGTTTTCAGCTACTGCAGAAACATGGCGGTGCAACATGGCTTTCAGATTGCAGAAGCATGTTCCATTTGTTGCTCTTTCTATCTGGTGTTAGTGGCTAAAACAGGACCGTTATAAGCACCACCAATCATTTCATTCTGTTTGACTAAAATGATTGGCTGGCCTACCTACCCATCTACCGACCTACCTGTGTGCACTCTGCTGTCCACTCACTGCCCTTGAACGTGTTTTGGGGGAGTGGCTTTGGACGGAGGGGGTGAGATTTTTTCGGTTGGATACTTTCAAAATCTAACTGTCTCTTGCTGGTTCTCAAACGTTACTTACCCCAGCTCTAAATTGACTAAGCTCACCAGCATGCTCATTGGGCTGAATCTCAAGTGGTCTACCTATGTTTCTGTGGGTGGATGAGACAACCCCATCAGCTTACCTGCAGCTGGGATCTGTGATGTGACTGGAGTAGGTGTCCATGGGTACTGGGTCCATGGAGAGATCAGAAATCAGAAGTGACTTCCTGTGTTTGAGGCTGCAGCGACTTCGGACCTCCTCAGACACAGTGAGCAGTGCTGCACAAAACAAGAAGGAATGATGGTCATCAACAATAGCAAGGTAGACCCAAACATTTAAACCACCATAACCAAAAACAGGTAATGATTCGAAGACTTGCTCTACATTTGTTAAGTAAAATCCCTCAGATACAAGAATTGACTAAATACTGCCAACTGACAGAGTAGGTGTTGGTAAATATAATACTAAGAACAATAAATTATTTGGCACCTCTATAGTGAGACAGGTGCGTTGGAGGGGGACAGGTAGGTCAAAAGCTGCAAAGAAAACTCCTGCACACTGTCTAACTTGCAAAAAAAAAAAAATGTATTGACACAAAGTTTCAGAGGAGGTGACTTGATTGTCTACACCAATGACCTACTTCCTCATAAAATAAGGCAACCATTACAAACATTCATTCATATTTCCAAGTGGTCAATGGACGTAGATTTCTGTATAGTGAATGTACATCGAAATAATATAATAAAGTGCATTCATGAACAGACATGCTCTCAAATCTTGCTGGTACCTTATCCATCACTAGACAAATAGAGGAAATGGCATAACAAACACAACATGTGACCAAACAGTAGGTCCAAAGGACAACAATATCATATTCCAATAATATAGAGGCTAAATAACAATGAGATTTATAAAATTTCAGAAAAAAATAAAGTCATTGCCATAAATGTTTAGAAATCTCCACATTATTATATATACACATGAGACATACACATCAAAGTCTCAAAAATAACTTGCAGCATTGTCGCATACATATATAAATGGACACAATCAGCAGGGCACAATACTTAATGGTCCTGATGATATAAGTGTATAAATCCAGTAAGCATGCTGTTTCAGTAACTTATCGTGGTCACCGGCCGGGTGACCTGTTCAATGCCACAGAACTGTAGTGACACAAAAAATATAATACTAACAAACTTGATGCTACGACTTTCTCATTTTTTTCCACGTGTTCCCATATTTGTCCTTAAGTTAATCTACAAAACAGGAATGTTCATGTTCAACTTTTCTTTGCTCTATCATTTTTTTCAGTAACATAAAATAGTAATTATGAGTAGGATGTAAATGTATAAATGACGATGTACAGTCATGGCCAAAAATATGGGCAGCCCTTCTTGCTTGTCACATAACGCACTAATTCTCCCAGAATATTGTCGCAATTACAAATGCTTTGGTATTTTCATGTTATTTCTTTTGTTTGCATTGGAACACAAAAAAAGCAGAGAAAAAAAGCCAAATCGGAGACATTCCACACAGAACTCCAAAAATGGACTGGAAAATTTTTTTGGCACCTTCTGAAAATCTTCAGAAATAATTGTTTTTTAAGCTGAGACTGACTGATTGATTAAACTGACTCAAAATGATTAGCAATTATTAACTAACTGATCACTAGTGAATAATTATGTAATTATTAGCTATACCCAAGGAGTCCTAAAGCCTTGGGCGGACAGCAAATTTTTAGGTGGTGCCATGAGTGCTAAATAATATTTCCCATTATTATTCATAACTTTATTACCAGTAGGTAGGTTTGCTACACCAAAAACAGACCCTGGATAACCAGTGCCCTGAAGGGCAAGGAGGTGTACAGGAAGAAGCTGGAGAACAAGCTCCAGCAAAACAATGCGAGGGATGTGTAGTTGGGAATGAAGACCATCACAGGGTTCAAGGTGAATCTTTCCCCCCAGCAGAAAGCACCGTGCCCCCCTCTGCCTGTCTGTCTCAAGCAACCAGGTTAGGAGGCAGCTGGAGAAATTGCACGAGAACAAAGCTCCGGATTCTGCATTTGAGGGTGTATCAGCGGCGGAGATGAGAGTGAGTACAGAGATCTGGTTGACCACTTTGTGTTGTGGAGTGGGAGCAACTACCTCCTCCCAAATTTGACCAAGACAAAGGAGATGGTGGTGGATAAGGGTGCTCCGATCGATCGGTTACCGATCATAATCGGCCGATAATGGCTTTAACTAGTTTGATCGGTGGTCGCTAAAAAGGGCGATAAGAAAAGCCGATCAGATGATGCAATACTCGCCAGACAAATTTTCAACGGCAGCTAAAATGTTTCACTACGCTGTCTGAGCTGTTTTCAAAGCTAGCTAGTACCAAAGTCCTTCTCAGACAAGAAGGGATTAACACGGCCACATAATCATTTTAGATTTGAGCAGCAATCAGACAAGTGGAGCAACACGCAGGAGCGATCATGTGAAACTGTCGCAGCTGTGCTCATCTCACACACACACAACCGGAGTTTAACAGACACAGCGCATCAGGCAGAGAGAGACTGATCTTTCAGTGTGAGTTTCCTGATGCAAAGAGCGGCACCACTCAATCAGCTGACTGCCTCTCTCTGTTTTTGTTACAAAAACAGTCTCTGTTTTTGTTACAAAAACAGAGACCTTTTGCTACGTTTCCGCCTCCCGTCCAGATTAAAGCGGTGAATCAGAAAATGTTTGTTTGAAAACGCTGCTGACCCGATGGACAAAACAGAGGACAGTTAGCCTAGCCTACTGTGCATGTCACTGTATTTACTTTGCGACAACTCCCAGTCTGTTTTCCGCCACCGTACTCCCGTGTTACTTTCAGTAAAGGTTCCACTTCGTTGCCGGTCAATGCAAAAGAAAAGAAAAAAGCCTGGTGTGGTTCTTGGTCTGTATTAATTTCTTCTTTCGCTAAATCGTCTGCTACTGCGGAGTAGACCATCTGCTTCATGTTTACACTGGCAGGCGCATGCCCAGTGTGGGCTACCTGAACATATGTAATATTAACAAATTACTGTATAATAAGTAATTTACATTGTAGCCTATTTTTATTTTTTTAATTTTCCTTATTTTCAAATCTCACTGAAGGCAGTTTTGACTCCCCTCTGTAGCCCTTCTCCCTCTCTCTGCTCCTCTCTCCCTCCTAAAGCCCACAGAACCTGCCTGAGCTTTTCAGAACAAAAAGCAGCTACTTCAGAGTTTATCATCGACTCATCATGCCTGTGCTCCTTTATCTCCTAAATATTTTGACTACAGCCTTTTTTGTTGTTTTTATGGTAGTAGTAAATTTATAAAGATGTTGTTTGTTCTGTTTTTGTAGTTTATTCCACAGTAAAGCTATATTTGTTAAGCTATAAGATGTTCACAGTAACCAGGCAAAGGCTGCTATGGTTTAAGTCTAACACAGATTGAGTGGAATTTGTTGCCCATGTTTCCTGGCAATAAAATAAACAGTTGTCATTTCATGATACTTTATCATCTGTTAACTTTAACACTTAATACATTGTTTTTAGGACCAATTAAATAAATATACAGTACACTGTATAATGTTACATGATAAATGAAAGGCTTCAAATAGACCCAGTGATCGTGATCGGCCGATACGGCTGATTCTGGAGGTCCAGGACAACACTGAACATCATTCATCTTCTGGCAGAGGAAGTGCAGGTGGTGGAGAATTACAAATACCTGGGTGTACACCTTGACAACAGACTGGACTGGCATTACAACACTGAGGCCATATTCAGGAAGGGCCAGAGCAGACTCTGCTTCTTGAGGAAGCTTAGGTCCTTTTCATGTATGCAGCAAGATGTTGACTAACCCTGACTGGACGCATCACAAAATAGCATGGGATGTGCACGGCCCAGGACCGGAGTGCTCTGCGTGATTAAACTGCTCAGAAGATCATTGGTACCCATCTCCCGAGCATCAGTGATATCGGTGAGGTGAGGTGTCTATGCAGAGACCAAAGGATACTAAAGGACAGTACCCAGCCAGCCACAGCCTGTTCACCCTGCTGCCGCACCACCAGACTGCAGAGCAGCTTTTTCCTCCAAGCTATCAGAGCCTTAAACTCTAATTCATCCTCAGCACTGCTCCAGTGATTATAGTTTATTTCTGTTTACCATTTTGATTCTGTATTAATGTATATTGTCTGCTATGTAGCAGAAGGGAGTTACAAAACTCAATTTCACTCTATAACTTGTTAAACCTGCCTACCTACCTATATGTTCTCAGTCTGTTGTCGAATGACAATTTTCCTTGCAGCAGCATCAGACCCAGTGACAGCAAGAGACTGAACAAGCTAATAAAGAAAGCTGGCTCTGTGCCAGGGTCTGCCCTGGAGCCACTGGAGTTGGTTGTGGAGAGAAGAATGTTACACAAACTGTTCAACATCATGGAGAGCACTCTGCTGCACAACCTGCTGGTCGGGCAGCAGAGAGTATTCAGCTAGAAACTCCTACAACTCCGCTGTAGCAAAGAACGTTACATTTTCATTTCGTTACATGTTACATATTACATGTCACATGTTCATGTGGTGAAATGCCAGATTAGGGGAGAGATGGTCCAGGACACCGCAAGCTGCTTCTGGGAATATTTCTCTCCAACGTGCGTCACTGTGCAACAAACTGGACAAACGTCATCTGGATCAATACCTGACAAAAGGTGGAGGTATCTGTTTTTATTTTAACAGTGGCTTGTGTACCGACGTGACGGTGGTTCAGCAGCATTGTTCTCATGATCTAGAATATTTACTAATACACTGTAAACCGCGAGTTTGCTTCCTACTTTCTGCTCTGTGTTTACATTCCACTGCAGGCCAACGAGCTCGACTCAGAGCGCATACTGGCTGACCAGATACTGTGGGTAGAGCAGACATTACCGGACTCCCTTATTGTACTCGGTGACTTTAACAAAGGAAACCTCCGCCAAGAACTCCCAAAATACAGACAGTTTATAAAGTGTCCAACTAGAGATGGGGACGCTTTGGATCACTGCTACACTACATTAAGCAGTGCCTATCACGCCCTCCCCCGCGCTCCACTGGGAAACTCTGATCACGTCATGGTGCTCTTGATTCCTGCATACAGGCAGAAATTAAAACTCTGTAAACCTGTGGTGAGGACATCAAAGCAGTTGACCATTGATGCTGTAGAGGACCTTCAAGCGCGTTTGGACTGCACTGACTGGGATGTTTTCAGGACTGCTACCAAAAGTCTAGATGAGTTTACTGATGATGTGACGTCCTACATCAGCTTCTGTGAGGACAGCTGTATACCAACACGGACCAGCTGTATACCAACACGGACCAGGGTGAGTTATAACAATGACAAATCCTGGTTTACAGCCAAACTCAGACAGCTGAGGTTGGAAAAGGAGAAGCCGTTTAATAGTGGAGACAGGCCCGGGTGCAGGGCATTAAAGTACAGGTTTAGCAAGGACGTTCGAGAAGCTAAACAGCTGTACTCAGAGAGACTACAACACCAGTTATCATGAAAGGACTCTTTTTCTGTCTGGAAGAGGTTCAGACAGATCACCAGCTACAAACCTAAATACCCCCACTCCATGAATGACCCACGCTTTGCCAACGAGTTGAACCAGTTTTACTATTACTTTGAAAGACAATGGGACAGACCTTACACCATCCCCCATCACACCACTGACCGGCTACAGTCCACCATCTCATTCTCACCCTCCTCAGAGGGGGGAAGCTCCACCTCCTGCCCGTCTCTTACCAACCCGGAGAGGGAAGTCAACAGACTGTTCAGGAAGCAGAAACCCCACAAAGCAGCTGGGCCGGACTCTGTCTCCCCATCCACCCTGAAGCACTGTGCTGATCAGCTGTCTCCAGACATTTTTAACACCTCACTGGAGACATGCCATGTGCCAGCCTGCTTTAAAGTCTCCACCATCATCCCTGTCCCCAAAAAAGGACCACAGGACTAAACGACTACAGACCCCTGACCTCTGTGGTAATGAAGTCCTTTGAATGCCTTGTGTTCTCCCACCTTAAATCCATCACAGACAGGCAGTTCGCCTACAGAGCCAACAGGTCTGTAGACGATGAATTAAACATGGCCCTTCACTACATCCTCTAGCACCTGGACTCCCCAGGAACCTACGCCAGGATCCCGTTTGTGGATTTCAGCTCTGGCCCTGCTGCAGGACAAGCTCTCTCAGCTGAACGTGCCTGACTCCACCCGCAGGTGGATCACTGACTTCCTGACGGACAGGAAGCAAAACATGTCTCTGATTCCAGGACCATCAGCACCGGTTCCCCTCAAGGCTGTGTCTTTCCCCTCTGCTCTTCTCCCTGTACACCAACAGCTGCACCTCCAGTCACCAGTCCGTCAAGCTCCTGAAGTTTGCAGATGACACCACCCTCATTGGGCTCATCTCAGGTGGGGATGAGTCCGCCTACAGGTGGGAGATCGACCATCTGGTGACCTGGTGCAGCCAGAACAGTCTGGAGCTCAACGCTCTGAAGACAGTGGAGATGATCGTGGACTTCAGAAAGAGCCCAGCCCCACCTTCCCCCATCATCCTGTGTGACTCTGCTGTCGACACCATGGACTCCTTCCGCTTCCTGGGCACCATCATCTCCCAGGAGCTCAAGTGGGAGCTGAACATCACCTCCCTCACCAAGAAGGCCCAGCAGAGGATGTACTTCCTGCAGCAGCTGAAGAAGTTCAGCCTGCCAAAGACAATGATGGTGCACTTCTACACCGCCATCACTGAGTCCATCCTCACCTCCTCCATCACCATCTGGTACACTGCTGCCACTGCCAGGGACAAGGGCAGGCTGCAACGCATCATTCGCTCTGCAGAGAAGGCTACAATCTTCCTTCTCTTCAGAACCTGTATGCCTCCAGGACTCTGAGATGTGCAGGAAAGATTATGGCTGACTCCTCCCACCCACGAAGGATGCTTCGGTCCATCAGGACCAAAACCTCTCGCTTCCTCAACAAGGCCCGAGTCCCCACTGTCACTGACCTTCATGCCCCCCTCCCTAAACCCACACACTCATACACACTCCTGACCCCACACTTTACAACACTCAACTGTGCTTTATGCTTATGTTGTAAATTTTTTCATACTATTTTAGTATTATTGCAATTCTTGTATACAAGTCCATTTTTTGATCTCCTTACTTTTTATATATTTATATTTATGTTCTATAGTAAGCACCAATTTAGCAAGGCAAATTCCTTGTATGTCAAAATGTACCTGGCAATAAACCTGATTCTTATTCTGATTCTAAAATAGAGCTTTTTGGTAAAGCACATCATTCTTCTGTTTTATGAAAATTAAATGAGGCCTTCAAAGGAAAGAGCACGGTCCCTACAGTCAAACATGGTGGAGGTTCACTGAGGTTTGGGGTTGTTTTGCTGTTTCAGGTACTGGATGTCTTGACTGTGTGCGTGGCATCATGAAATCTGTAGAAAGAATTCTGGGGCAAATTGTAGGGCCCAGTCTCAGAAAGCTGGTTCTCCATCTGAGGTCATGGGTCTTACAGCAGGAGAATGACCCAAAGCATACTTCAAAAAGCACCCAAAAATGGTTTAAGACAAAGCACTGGAGAGTCCTAAAGTGGCCAGCAAGTCTAAATCACAGATAATTAATTAATTCCATAGAGCACCTGTGGAGAGATTTTAAAACAGCAGTTGGGAGAAGGAACCCATCAAATCTCAAAGACCTAGAGCAGATGGCAAAAGAAATGTGATCCAAAATTCCAGTACAGAGGTGTACGAAACTCAATGATGGTTACAGCAGGCGATTGATTTCAATTATTTTTCCCAAAGGGTGTGCTACCAAATATTAAGTTGAGGGTGCCAATAATTTTGTCATGACCATTTTTGTTCTGTGTGAAACATCTCAGATTTGGCTTTTTTTTCTCTGCTTTTTGTGTTGTTCCAATTCAAACAAAATAAATAAAAATGAGAAAACCAAAACATTTGTAATTGCAACAGTTTTCTGGCAGAAGTAGTGCATAATGTGATAGACATGCAGGGCTGCCCATATTTTTGGCCATGACTGTATATGCAAAATGCCACAGTGTTACTTACCAGCCAGATAGGCTACACTATGTGTGTTGACCTCAAACTTGTCACATTTCAGATGCTTGCCGATGAGAGCCAACAGTGTGTGCAGGATTCTCACTGTCCTCGCTACTGTGGTGGGTGATGGGTGTCTGTAGCCTACAGACAGAAAGACAGACAGTGAGGGACAAGACACTGACCCAAATGTCTTTGGCAGAAACAATATGCACCCAGATTGAACAATACTGCCGCATGTAGTGATGCTCACCGTCACTCTGCCTTTATTCATGAGACATTGCAGAACTAAACTATGTGCATACTTTGAACATATTGCTAAACCACACTGACAGCAGCTTCATCTGGGATTTCTCAATATATGTGATTGATATGAACATGGACACCCAGTGATTCAACAAAACCATAGTGCTTAGAAAATGGAATGATTGAATCTTTACCTTTGAGTAGGTGGCCCACCAGTGCAAAGTTGAAGTTGGAATTGAAGTTGAGGCCCACAAAGTGATCCATCTGCTTACAGTGCCATTCTAAAGGATGCCTGATCTCCATGAACACTTCTTCTGGACTCTGGAGGAGCAAAAAAGAGGAATTAGGAAACTGTATTTGATCATGTCGTCACATTAAAAACATTCACAGTCAGATGCCCCTGTCCACAAAGTAGGTCTCTTCATGTACTTAATTTTCCGCTTTCTTTTTTCAAAAATACACATCTGCAATCAAAAACAGCTAGATAAGAGGATTCTGGTGAGTCAAAAGCGTGTCAGAGTTGTCTGTAAAGACTCCTGGTCATCCAGGTCATGGTATTTCTAGTGCTAAGTGCGAACTTGAAGGTCTCTGCACTGATTCTTCAGTTCAGTTCCCAATTTGTTTCAATTTGTTTTGCTTTACCGCACAGCATTACTTCACAAATAACTTTGCAAACAACTACCATTGCAATGAGCACTATAGCTTGGGACCAGAATCAAATGAGACAGTATTTAAGGATTTACTGTGAATGTTACTTTTTAAATACACTGTCATCTGTCCTTGAACACCTCAGTGCAGCCTAAGTGAGCGGCCCAAACCCAAATGAGAGTCAGTATTACGAGAACAGTATTGGTATTTAGTTCACGCAACATCATACCTTGCAACATTTTACCTTATCATTGAAGATGCGCATCGTGTCCAGAGTGTGGAGGTTCTGCTCCAACAGAGCTGTTCCAGCAGAGTACAGGTTGACTTCATCCAGCTGCAGCACAGCTACTGCCACCCAGAACAGAGCTTTGTGCATTGGAGACTCCTGCAAACACACAGATTGTTTGGAAAGCAACTCATACACAGTGTGACTATTGAAAACAGCAAGGCAGGGCTGTGTATTGTCAACGACATAAACCAGATTCTAAAAATGCCAGTGGGGAGATAAACAGAGAATCACTACTGAACTGCTGACTATTATCTTATTTAGAACTTATGTAGCACTATACAAATGACAAACAGAATGTTGATTTTTGATTTAGCTTTTCATAGATATTCCACATTTTACTCAGCCTTCCTGAAACTAATAATCCAACACCAGTTATGATGATGGCTCCTTCTCTCCTCTAGAGGGAGAGATGAACCCACTCAGCAGGCATACAAATAGTTCAAATTTCAAACACTGGAAAATACTATTCATTCATTTGATAAAATTGAGAAAGAGCAGTTATGAAACAGAGTTGTGGCATGCTGTGGCTGGAGGTTGGTCTACAGTGGTTGTATACCTTGCTGAGTAGAGGCTGCAGCTTAGTCAGAGCAATGACTGTGGCTTCTATTAACACCTGACTGTTGTAATTGTCCGGCCCCTTCAGACAACTCTCCAGACCCTGTGATGAAAAGGGAAGAAAGAGAAGGAGCAGGAGCAAGAGGGAGGGAGAGGAGGGACAAGGATCGACAGTCATACATTATATAGAAATTCATTAAATTACATATTCATCAGTGAAAGAGATGTTTAAACTGTGCCTTCACTTTACCAAGTAGCATAAGCATAAGTACCATATAAACATTCATTAAAATCACTTGAAGATCAAAATATGACATGAAAACAATCCTATGTTACATAAAAGCCTAATGCCATCCATAATACTGAATACTACTGATGTACACATCATCCACATTTCACAAGTGAAAATATGTACGGGGCCTCCTCACTTTCAATCACTATTTCTGAAAGTGATTTTCAATCTAATGTCTCTGTGTCAAGTGAATTGGGTCATATATAGAAATAAAAACTTTGGAGAGTTATCTCTCAGCCCTGCAACTACAAGTTAGGATTTTATCCCAGTGTTCATGTTTTCAGAACAGAGGGGCAAAGAACATCTTTGACCTTTTGGGATGACACAAAATCCCCTGGGTAATGTCAAAAACAGACCAGCTCAAAATAACTTTAATTCAAGTTTGCTTTACCGGAATGACATTTGTGTCGCTAAAGCATATCAAAGAAAGTAGTAAACACAGACAATGAAATCTATGGTGATTATGACATAAAATGATTATAAAAAGACATGAAAGAAAATTTGTATACAGTGTGTCTACACAATACAAGAAAGGCTACTTTTCTCAAATCATCCATTGGATAGTGCATGAATCAATGAACGAAAGTAAAGAAGAGGCAAAATCTATATTAATGGCAAATCAAGTAGTATTGGGGCTCTGCAGTGCTCAATTTGAATTGAAAAAACTCTGCAGTGTCAGGTTTTCCAGAACATAGTCCCCTCTCAATGGCTATTGATTAAGTGCTTAAAGATCTCCAGACTCAGACTTTGACTATTCACGTGCCAAGGCAATGGAAACGTGTCCATCTCCTAATGACAACAAGTTGCTACGGAGGGGTGGAGGACATTGACAGGTGAAGGAGTGAAGAAGGAGGACTTGACAATAGACCTACGCCATGTCCAAGGGTCATGACAAGGGGTCGAATTAGTGAATGTACGCTCTCACCCTGTCGATGCTGAGCAGAGGGCTGGCCTTGCTGAGGATTCGGATGATCTGCTTGATCTGGCTGTGGCTAACCCTCTTACTGATGCACCCAAACACCACCAGCGCTCTGGGCTGGAGAGACGGGTTGTACTGGAATGCAAACCTGGAATCCAAACACACACAGACACACATGTTCCACGCTGCACATTCACGCTCTTAACATTGGTGCATTAAAATAAGATGAATTAGGTTCCTACTTCTGTGCGAGCTCTGTCCATTGGTCTAACCACTTGCAGGCTGGGATGTCCCTCATACAAGCCTAGAGGAAAGACAGCAAAGAGCAAACAGAATGAGAACGTGTACAGAGCGAGGAGCAGAACAGTGTGAGCTTCAGTGCAAGTGGTGCAACAAGTTTTCATTAGTGCTTGCTCTTGGTGGGAACTGTTGGGCTTCTGTAAATAGCATCATAGAGTACGGTCTAGACCTGCTCTTTTATGAAAAGCGCTGTGAGATAACTGTTGTTGTGATTTGGCGCTATATAAATAAAATTGAATTTAATTGAATTGAAAATTGTGATCCATTTGGCAAATGTATATAGATATAGAGATATAGATAGATAGAGATATGGACATGTTTATCATGATAATGACACTAGTTGGGATCATTGGGTTTCCTTGGCAAAATAAATTATTTTTTCTGCTGACCTCCATGATCTCCAGCAAGGCCTCAGTGACTGTCTCCAGGGAGGACAGGGCGAATGTCTCCCTCTCGTAGGACCCTGGTGAGAAGGAGCGGTCTCTGTAGCTGGAACGGAAGGCGATCACAGCGGCTGACTTGACTTTGCTGATGCCGAACAGCAGGTAGAACTTGGGCAGGGAGAACTCAGTCAGGCTCAGCCTCAGAACCTGCTTTGTCTCCTCTGAAATCATTGAACGCAACAACATTTATTTTGAAAACAAGATTTATTTAGAAAAGACACAAGTTGCCTTGATGTATTTGGTGTGCTTGTGCTCTGCTATGAAAACTTCAGTTTTAAGATTGCTCTCATAGGAGCCACCTCCACCATCCCCATGCACTGTTAGATTGTTGGATTTACCAAAAGGCTTATCCATGCTGCCACAACTGGCTTAATCAACCAAATTAATTAAGTCCTCACCACTGAAGTTGAGCTGCGAGCAGGTGCAGAGGGAGTGGATGATGTTGATGACTAAACCATGGGTGGAGGCCCTGAGGGACAGAGGGCCCGTGGCTACCAGCAGGGTCACCACATGGAACAGGTAGGGCAGGTGAGCTGCAACATCCAGGGAGTTGTTGAAGGACAGCATGAGCATGTAGCGTGCCAAGATGGCAATGTCGTCCCACATCAGGTGTTGCTCTAGTGTGGGTGTTGGCGACAGGCACGTCTTGTCTATGATCTTACACATCCGACCGATAACCTGGCACAAATAATAAGAGAAGACAAACACTGAAACACCACAGACAAAAGCCCAAATTTCCCGTCGCTCACAAAATGATGACAGCTGACGCGAAAATTAAACACTTTCGGTCAATAGCTGAGCCTTCTTTGATATCAATGAACTCTATGCAGGCGGCTATCATGACAAACCCCATACAGTATCATTATAATACATCTAGGTAGACGTAAATATGGCCACACTGATCCAGCCAAATTCTTCTTAAGTCTCCCATCAGATAGATCACATCTCACTGAGCAGCAAGATTGAGGAGTCACTGCTTTTTCTGTGTGAATGTAAATCCAGTATTCTCTCAGTATTTGGTCTCAACCAGCTCCTGTAGCTGTTAAATTCTCTACTGTGCTCACCAGCTGGTCTCTAAATGAGTCTGTCTGCTGTGTGCTGCTGAGCAACTTGTGTACAGTTTAGTTTATGTCTGGAAACAAGACTGATGAGAGCAGAGTTTGTTGTCCTAAAAGCAAATGCAGTCTACCATCCCTCCAGGACCTCTACACCTCCAGGTGTGGCTGACCCCTCCCACCCAGGTCACAAACTGTTTCAGACACTCCCCTCTTTCCGTCTGCAGCTGGCCTCACCAGCAAATCTCAGGACCCCCACTGACTCTCATCCCCCCTCCTTACAGTACAGTTTACTCATACTTAGGAGTGTCCACGACTAAGAATTTACATAGTTGACTCAGAATTGTCAGGTTTTGTCTATAGTCGAGTGGTTATCGAAACTTTCACTGTACATTTCCAGTTAAACTGAGGCTCACTGTTGACCCTTTTCTCTCTGCTTTGCTCGCCAGCATTCACCAGTTTTGGGCCGAGTTTTGCATGTCTGCTGACCAGTGCATGCAAGTCACGGTTCCTCCCGGGTCTATTCTAAGTACTGTTTAAAAATGATATAATATATTCTTTGTGTGGTTAATCAAAAGGTAATAAATGCTTCATGGGGAAAGTATAACTCAACACAACACCAGCGTAGTCGCTCTTGGTGCTCTGTCTCTCTTACCCTTCTACTACACACACACAAACACACACTAGCCCGCCCACTCTCTTATCTCTTTAATATCTTATTGTCTATTTCATATTTATGATTACTTGACCTGCTCTTTATTTTTCTTATATTCTCAGAACTCAACGTTAAACTTTTTTGCCACTGGCCTTTGAAACTTACTGGCCCGAAGACAATTTTTACTGTCCCTCCTTCCAAAAGTGTTCAATCGTTTTATTAAATACATCCTGGATATAAAAAAAACTAAAAAATGTGATCACAGTTAAAATTATAAAAAATAAAAAGGTTAACAAAACAATTTACTTTTAAAACAAAACATACTAACAGACTCAAACATGACGTGCTCTCCTGCCGACAGCCATTTCTGAAAAATGTACACAGAGCAGCGGACACACAAGTCGCCTCTATCCTGATGAACAGGTTGCCATGGTAGTGACCTGTCAATCAGCCACAATTGGGCCAGTGAGTTGCTAGTTCAACTGTCCTGACGTTACGTTTTACTGGCCACAGGCCATCGGGCCACCATCATTGTCGAGCCCTGATTCTTTTACCTACAATGTTCATTGTTCACACTGCTTGGCTAGAAAGTGGATTCTGATTCTAAAAAGAATTCAAGCTGTAAGCAGCGTTTTGCGGGCCCTCGCATGTGCAGTCCTTTGGGTGTGCCACAGCCGTACCACACATACTACTGCTCTACCTACACGGCTCTGATACATCATGTGCTTCGGACGCTGCGTGAAGGACTTACACGTCACTTCCTGTGTCCTCTATGTGGCGCTGCACAGCACCCGTATAGCCTTAGCACCTTTGTTCTACTTGGTAGGAGTTTGCCCTCTAAGGCTATCACTACTGGGTTCACCCCAATGCGTGCATGTGCAGCACTGAAAAAAGTTTTGTCTATGCCCATTCATGGTGTGGGCCTCTATCAAGTGGTGCCTTCATCCCGATCTGGTCACTCAGATCTAGCGCAGGTTCAGCGCAAAAGAGGTAGATCTGTTTGCCAACCGAGAAAATGCTCAGTGTGCCCCCTGGTTCTCACTAAACTCGTGGGACACTCCCCCAATGGGGGTAGATGCCTTCACCCACGGCTGTGGAAACTCCCCAGGTGGGGGGATGCCCTCTCCTAGGGGGGGCACAATCAGGACAATCAGCTGAGAGGCAGTGCTTGCAGGGTTTAGGTCTCTCACAGGAGGTGGTGTGCACTGTCCAGGGGTTAACCGCTTCCACTTGGACCTCTTACTTCGCCAGATGGTCGGGTTTCCAACACTAGAGTCAGGACCAGGGGTTGGACCTGGTGGCTTGTCTGCTGCCTGAGGTGCTTTCGTTTCTCCAGCTGCTGATGAACAGAGGGCTGGCGTTCAGTACAGTTAAGACCTATGCTGCCGCCATTTCAGAATCAGAAATACTTTATTGATCCGGGGGGAAATGTTTTTGTCACAGTTGCACACATTGACATAAAGACATAAAGCAATACAAATAATAATAGAAGCTGACAGGTAAATAAAAATATAAATATAAAAAGAAGAAATATAAAGAAGAAATATAAAAGGAGTATGATATGTACAATATTATTAACATTAACATTATTGACAGAATTGTGGTGAACAGTAGTAGTGAATAAATAGATAATAAATAGAAGCACAGAAATTTCAGCAAAGAATATTGCACACTGAATATTGCACAGAATGTAAAGTATTGCACGACAATGTCCAGTTTAATAACTAACTAAGGGCCTGTGGGTCAGACACTTTGAGGGAGGAGTTAAAGAGTTTTGATGGCAACAGGCATGAATGACTTCCTGTGGCGCTCTGTGGTGCATTTTGGGAGAATGAGTCTTGCACTGAAAGTGCTCCTGTGTTTGAGCAACACGTCATGGAGTGGGTGGGAGACATTGTCCAAGATGACATGTAGCTTAGACAGCATCCTCCTCTCTGACATCACCAACAGAGAGTCCAGCTCCAACCCCACAACGTCACTGGCCTTGGATCAGTTTGTTGAGTCTGTTAGCGTCCGCTAACCTCAGCCTGCTGCCCCAGTATGCAACAGCAAACAGGATCGCACTGGCCACCACAGACTCATAAAACATCCTCAGCATCGTCGAAGGACTTCGGCCTCCTCAGTAAATAGAGACGGCTTTGGCCCTTCCTGTAGAGGGCTTGAGTGTTCTTGGCCCAGTCCAGTTTATTGTCCATGTGCACTCCCAAGTATTTGTAATCCTCCACAATGTCCACACTGACCCCCTGGATGGAAGCCCTCTACTGTATCCAACCCCAGCAGAGTCATCAGAAAACTTCTGTAGATGGCAGGACTCTGTGTGGTAGTTGAAGTCTGTGGTGTAGATGGTGAAGAGGAAGGGAGAGAGGACCGTCCCCTGTGGGGCCCCCGGTGTTGCTGACCACCCTGTCTGACACACAGTGTTGCGGGCGCACATAGTGTGGTCTGCGAGTCATGCAGTTAACAATCCAGGACACGAGGGGGGCATCCACCTGCATCGCTGTCAGCTTCTCACCCAGCAGGGCCGGCCGGATGGTGTTGAGGGCACTGGAGAAGTCAAAAAACATGACCCTCACAGTGCTCGCCAGCTTATCCAGGTGGGTGTAGGTGCGGTTGAGCAGGAAGATGATGGCTTCTTTGGCTTCTTTGGCATAGGCACGAGGCAAGATGTCTTTCACAGCACAGAGAACCTTTGGAGACTCAGGCTCAGGTTGAAGACATGAAGGACTCCACATAGCTGGGGGGCACAGGCTTTGAGCACCCCGGGGCGGACACCATAGGAGCCATAGCATCAAATCTGTTAAAGAACAGATTAGGTTGGTTGGCCCTGTCCAAGCTGTCTTCAACTCCTCTGCTGCCAGTCGGTCTGAAGCCAGTGATGTTCCTCATGCCGCTCGACACCTCCCTCATGTTGTTCTGCTGGAGTTTACGCTCCAGCTTCCTCCTTTGCTTCTCCTTAGCCTCCCTGATCTTCACCTTCAGGTCCCCCTGAACAGTCTTTACCTCCTCCCTATTACCGTCACTGAAATCCCACAGTTTGTTATTTGAGTAACAATGAACAGTCTTCGTTGGGACAGTGCAGTCCACAAAGAAGTTTATGTAGTCTGTGATGCACTCAGGTCTGACCTTCCTGGTGGGGAGGGGGGATGAGCTGTATGCATCCTTAACGTTAGCATACAGCAACAGTGCCGTGACCGCACGAAAGGAGCAAGTTCACGGCTAACAACCAGACCAAAACTCTCTCAACGTGCATGATTAGAGAGAGTGTATCTTCAGTTACTTATACACAAGAGAGAAATTTATACTGTCATGATGGTTTTGATGACAGGACGGTGTTCGCTCACCCTCTGGTGAAGCACAGGCCTGAGTCACGGCATGCTGCTTTGCAGTCGGATTTGGCACTGGTTTAATGCGCCTTGGCCAAAGCCCCTATTGAGCCTTTGGAGGACCTGAAGTTCCTTTTGGCCAAGGTTGCCTTGCTCTTGACGCTGACATCAGCCAAGAGGGTCAGCGACCTGGCTGCCCTCTCTGTGGCCCCTTTGTGGTTCAGGATCCAGGGTGTACCCTAAACCTGCCTTTATGCCTAAAAGCATCACCAGCTCTTTTAGGTCAAGTGGTTACCCTAACAGGCTTCTTCCTACCTCCTCATAGGTCTGAGGAAGAAGCTGTGTCCCACCTCCTCTGACCTGTGAGCGTACTATCCTGTTACGGCCGCCCTATCGCCGCTCGCAGCGCTTGTTAGTGCACTACAGGGAGCAGTCCAAGTGGCTCCCCCTGTCAGCGCAGTGTCTGACTGGCTGGCTGTGCGAGGCCATTTCACAGGCCAATGTGTAAGCCAGTGAGTTTCCCCGGATGGTATCAGGGCGCACTCCACGAGAAATATCGCTTCCTCTGTGGCGCTGCATGGTGGACAATATCTGCACGGCGGCCTCCTGGTCCTGAGTGCGCGCTCCCCGCACCAACCGGATGGTGCGGGGAGAGGCCGCTGCTCGCGCCTGCACTGCGCGCAGCCGGAACCGTTACTGTGCATAACCTTTGTCTGCGCTTGCACAGCTGTGGAGCCCCCATCCTGTCCCCGGCCTGTCTCACATGGGTTGCTTTGCCTTCCCCATGTCGCGCCATGAGTGAATGCGCATACACCATCACGGATGCTGTGGGGCTGTGAGGGACTGGATGGCTTATTATGTTGGCTCTTGGTAGGTGTGTCTGTGCTTTGTGGTACCTTATGGGCCCAGTGAGGTGTTGACTCATCCTCCTTCGCCTCTAACCCAATTGCGATAGCCATAGGGGGCGAGGCCGATATTCTATGAGTATAGTTGTAGCCCTCTAAGATTTGGGCCTCACTGTAACTGTGGTTCTCAGTGAAAAACTTAATGGATCACTTGGTGCGAGCAAATTCTGAGTACAAGACTAAGTCCACTCAAGAGACACAGACACGCTCTTCCAAAGGGCAACTACCACTGCGACAGTTGCGCACAGTGCAATAATACTATAAAATTACAAATTTTTCCCACCCCCACACAGGCAAAACATTTCACATTAACATTGTCATCACTTCTACTTCACTATGGTTTGTGGCATTGAACAGGTCACTCTACCACTCAGGGGCGGTGACCACGATAAGTTACTTAAACAGCATGAGGCTTACTGGATTTATCCTCAGCAAACATGCGCTCCAAATGGACTTAATGATGAATTTCTGCTTAACATCCCCCTGGGATGACAGACCAGGTGGGGATAGACCAGGTAGGGAATCCCCTGGTAGGGAATCCCCTGGGATGACGGAGGACCTTCAACAGGAAATAAAACTGTCCCACAACACCTAACACATAAAACTGTCACCCGCTGACCCTAACAACATTTTTGCCCACCAAACACATCCTCCATGAGAAACACAGGCCTGTTTGACCACTGTGAATACAGTACCAAGGTGTTTTTTATGCCGGGTTTCGCTCTTGGCATCCTGTGGCTGAGTCAGCTAATAGGACTGCTAGCCGCATGGCTAACCGAGCTAACTAGCTACAGATACAGACAGACAATCTAGGCTACTAGCAGCTTTTAGTGGTTTAGCAAAAGGTAAAGCTATCCACCAAGATCTTATGTCCATCAAGAAGCTCTGTAAATCTCGGTACTGGATTCCCTGTTAGTCTTTGAGGCTGTGTTCGGTCCTATTCATGCTGTGTTTAGTCGGAGGCTGCTGAGTGCAGTTTCAATGCCCGCTTGCCCGGCTCTGGTTCCCAATCAGGCGCTGCACCCCGCCATCATTCCCTGCTGGAGCCCCGGGCCTGAAAACCATTGTAAACAACTTTATACACTCTTTGGTAAACACTAACACTCCCCCTGTGCTCTGGGCTCCCACTACGAACGGAGTAAGCAAAACTGACAAGTAGTTGCACTGCTATCTGAGCTAATTAGATAATGGTAAGTCAGCAGCAGTTAGCTGTTAGCTTTACTTGTTGCTGAAGTTATCTATCAGTAAATTCTGTAAATCACAGAGTTGAGGCAGAGCAGCCAGGGGACAGAGAGAACACCAGAAAATATTTTCTCCATATTTTTAATATGTTCTTCATCAAATATGATCCAGTTTCAGCAAAATCATGACACACTCTAAAATATCTTCAAGAATGTGTTTTTTTTATCATTGACGGGGCAGATACTGCCATATTGGTGACATAAAGTGCAAGTGCAAATGTTATAAAAACATTTAAACATCGATTTTGATTTCATGGGAATGGGAGATTTTATTAATATTGTATGTTTCTCTAAAAATACATTGAGCAGTTATTTTTGATGCCTTGATGTGTTTGTTGCACCTAATTGATAATGCGTAGAATTTTAGGCAACATTTTTGGTGATAACATTTTTCTCTTTTCCTATTTTTCTCTAAATTTCATTGTTATTTAACACTTTAATTAAGTATGATATTATTGTCTTTTGAATCTATTGTGGGGTCACATGTGTTTATTATATTTTCCTCTATCTACTGTTGTGTTTATTATGCTATATCCTCTATTTATCTGTTAATCTGTAAGGTACCAGCAAGATTTGAGAACATATCTGTCCATAAATGCATTTTATTGTATTTTTTGGTGTACATTTTACAGAAATCTACATCTAGTATAGAACCCCCTGGAAAGATATATTATTGCTACCATAGAGAAAGTCATTGGCGTTGCCCAGTGCTTGAAGTGGGCCAGAACGCCCTGGAACGCAGTACCGGCACCTCGACATTTTACTCTTTGCCGTACCGGGACATTTTCTTGCCTACCGGGACTTCTCCCAAGCTGCCGGTACTCTCCTCTGCCCTCTCCATGGCCCAATCCCAATGTACCACCTAAGCCCTGAACCTCCACAGACTTTACTGACATTATTTGGAAAGTGAATGAGTGTAAGAGGTGGCAAGGGCTCAAAATGCTGTAAACAGGAATGGGACAGCACTTTGCCACATTATCACGTTACCTTGACGACGCTGAAACATGTTGCACACTTTTTATTTTATGTTTTTGCCTGATTTTTAGGTATTGCGGGCTCTTGTCCTACAGAGTGGAGGAGAGGTAAATGTCAGTCTACATTTCTCAATAATAAATACACTGTTGTTGGTCAAAACAGCACCATTAGGCAAAAACTAAAATAAATAGTTGAATAAACTAAGTGTGTAATAAGGGGATTGCATTCCTCTGACTTCATGTGTTCTATGCACCATCATAAATCTATGTTAAGAAAAACAATTTTCAAAAAAAATGCGGACTCAAAATGCCCACGAGAGAGCCCGTAAAGTCGGACACATGCTACCTGCGTGAGCTTACTGTGAGCTGAGATCAATGACTGAGACTAGGCAAAAGTTCGGTTCCAACTTTGTGCAGCCTGAGATTTGATATGTGATATGGTGACGTTTTGCAGCGCCGGTGTTCTGACGATCTATGCAGCCTTGTCAAAAAAATGCAACCTACGCAAATCGATAGCAGAGTCTATTGAGTCGCTCTGCCCTTTCTAAAAATGCTACCTTATGTGTTCCCCTTTTCAGTCTCATAAAGTTATAACTCTCACAGTATTATGACATTGTCTGTTTTTTGATTATATTAAATGTAAATTCTCCGTATTTGTTTAGCGCCTTTCTAGTCTTTTCGACCACTCAAAGCGCTTTTACACTACATCTGCATTCACCATTCACACATATTCACACACTGAGCCCAAGTGCTCAAACAGAAACTAACATTCACACACATTCATACACTGGCGGAACAGCCACCAGGGGCAATCCGGGGTTCAGTATCTTGCCCGAGGACACTTCGACATGCAGCAACCACTGACCTTCCAATTAACGGGCAACCCGCTCTACCTCCCGAAGCACAGACCGTGTATAGGTCATGCATGTAGATTTTGTTAAAATATTATGACTTTAGTATCATTAGTTTGCGATTTTATTCTTGTAATATTATGACTTTTGTCTCAAAATAAAGTTATTCAGCAAATGTCAGAGAACACAGATAAGTTGGAGGGATTTTGTGAATGAATGTGCAGAAAGTTTTGAACATGAGCAGAAAACCTGCAGAATAACATGCAAGATTTCTGGGCTGGGACATGCCCCAAATGTTTCAAGAGCCTAGCAATGCCCCTGGAGAGAGTCATATGTAAGCTTAAGCTAGATCTTTAGTACTGGAAATGTCAATAAATGTTTGTAATGGTTGCCTTATTTTATGAGGAAGTGGGTGATTGGTGTGGACAAACAAGTTACCTCCTACAAAAGATGGATTCTCAGTATATAACACCATTTGCCTGATGAAGGTCTAAAAAAAGAAAATTAGGGAGTTTTCTTTTTCACCCACCTGTCCCCCTCCGACTCACCTATCTCTCGTTATAGATGTGCAAAATAATTAACTGTTCTGGAACACACTGTGAAAATTTTATTCAAATCGCATAATGAGTGTCACACAGCGCTTCCTTCCTCATGCCAATAGTCATTTACAATGGTAGCGCCACCTGCATGAGGAAGGAAGCGCTGTGTGACACTCGTTATGCGATTTGAATAAAATTTGTACATGTGTTCGGGGAGAGAACGTTATCAAGCATGTAAAGTTTAGTGCAGATGTGAGCATGTACACTCTCTCTCTCCGTTTGTACAACTTTTAATCGTCACTAGGTTTAGACTGCACAGCGAAAAATTGCAGTACATTAGACTAATTCCCTAGTAGGAGATTGATAATGGAGAAAGTGTGTAAAACCAATAGGGACCTCACACGATTTTCATGCTCAGGCCTTAATGACATTCCATAACCATGACTGAAATTCAACCTTCAAAAGTCTGAGTAGAGTAATCTTTAGTTTATCTTCAGCTTAATATCAGAGACAAGCATCATTTAAGCTATAAATCATTTCTCAAACTCCAAAGTTTACTCATTTAAAATATCATCATGCAAAATTTTTATTTAAGAACATGCCATAGACTTACTGACAAATAAGGCTCCAATGAAGCAATCCGTGGTGAAGCCCCACGGTAAACACAGAGTTGATCATATGACAATGTGGTTATAGTTATAAGCGGCTAGCACGTATTCAACTCTTGGGTGACAAAGGGTTCAAGAGCAGTGGACAAGGCTTCATTGTGCTCAGAAGGCTGTCCTGCAATGACATCAGAGAGTAACTCTGTGGATAACACCAGCACAAAGACTTGTGTATACGTCACAGCCAGGTACATCTGACAATTTGATATTCTTACATTTGATGCAATACTTTAGTAAAAGTACACTTAATCATGGAGGGCAGCTGCACTTAGACAATGACTGGCTTTTCTTAGTCAACAATCTTCACAATGGCCACCATTCAGGGCAGTGCCGTCAGGGCTGGCTTTTCTATTGTGTCTCTTGTGTATGTTGTTTGTTATCCGAGCAGCAGGCTGAATTTGGATCCAGAGCACAAAGATGATGGATAGTGAGTGGATGAGTTTGTCTCTTTGGACACCAAGTCAGGAGTGATTTACAACTCTGGATTGATTTCTTCCATTAGTAAGTAAGCCAATATTATATTTAAAATCTGATCACTCACATCACAAACTAAACCATTAACAAATGTTGAATGAATTCATACATCTTGTCACCTTGCTATAATATTATATATAACAATAAAATCATGTCCATGCTGTCATGCACCCGTTTTCTGTTAATGTTATGAAATACAACAGTAGGAAAATATTATTCAAACAGAACATTTAAAGTTACAACTATGGTAAGTATGCTGCCTATAGAATACTTAATACCGTGTCAAACTATAGTTGCAGCTGAGAATTGCGGTAGTTGTATGCAGGCCTGCAAACTGCATACAGTTTGATGAAAAAGTTAAGGATATATGAAAGTAATCCTCTGAATTTTTACAATCTGAACTTGTACTTAAATGGAGCATTCTGGGGCACTTTCAGATTAAAACAGAGGCAGAAGATAGACTGTCTCCAGCTCAAGCTGCTGTGGGTACCTTGCATATGCCAAAAGATGTCAGTGGCAAAGCAGAGAGTAATTCAGTCCCACTGCACCCAAGTCCATTTCTGTATTGTGGCCAAAACTAGGGTATTATGTGGTTGTTGTCTAGTCTTTTTCTTTCTCTACCAGTTCTCTCTGCTGCTGCATTTTCTCATCAGAAAAAACCTAGTCCTAGTCTTTTGATGAATGATGCTACCAGTGGAATTTCTTCTTTACCATTTAGAAAAGTACATACAAATACTCTATTAAGATTTACAAATACTTGAGTTGAAATAATGACAATATTGTGATAAGAATAGTGCTGCTGACTGTACAACTCCACCGTACTTCCTGGTCAAGAATAAAGCGTGATTTATACTCCTGCGACGGGTCTACACTGTAGCCTATGGCTTCAGCTACGCACGTAGCCAGGCATTTATACTTGTGCGTTGGTGTCTCTGTCTGCAAATACACTGCCAAACGTTAGTTGGCAGCAGCGCTACAGCGTCCACTGTGTTGACTTTTGCCGGCCAAGCAGGCATCACAGAGTATGGTCTAGACCTGCTCTTTTATGAAAAGCGCTGTCAGATAACTGTTGTTGTGATTTGGCGCTATATAAATAAAATTGAATTGAATTGAATTAACTTCCAGTTTAGCCCTCCGCTAACGACAATGGGGATAAAATTGTATACATACAGCTGTTATAGACTTTTCAAATGTTATCGACTACTAGTTACTACAAAGCACGGGGCATTTCCTGTCGGCTCTGAGGCACTGCGAGGCTGCCCAGCCAACCAATCACAGTTCTTGCGGTCCGACGTGTAGTTACATTTTTGAGGAGGTGCACGTCAGGCTATGGCATAGACTACTGCGTAGGGTGTGGGGCTATGTCGACGCAGAAGAATAAATCACACTTAATTCTGGGAAGAGGTCGTCTTGACCAACTTATTTTCTGAAACAAGAACTGAACAGTTTCTTAGAATAAGCTAAGTATAAATCAAATCGCCAACCTTCTGATTAGTGGATGACCTGCTCAACCTGCTGAGCCACAGCCACCCTGGATGGACAGACAGACAAACGCTATATTGCCAAAGGTTTTGGGTCACCTGCCTTTACATGAAGGTTACTGACATCCCATTCTTAATCCGTAGGGTTTAATATGGAGTTGGCCAACCCTCTGCAGCTATAACAGCTTCACCTCTTCTGGGAAGGCTGTCCACGAGGTTTAGGAGTGTGTTTATGGGAATTTTTGACCATTCTTCTAGAAGTGCATTTGTCAGGCACAGATGTTGGACAAGAAGGCCTGGCTCACAGTCTCCGCTCTAATTCATCCCAAAGGTGTTCTGTCGGGTTGGGGTCAGGATTCCGTGCAGACCAGTCAAGTTCTCCACACCAAACTCGCTCTTCCATGTCTTAATGGAAATTGCTTTGTGCACTGGTGCGCAGTATTGTTGGAACAGGAAGGGGCCATCCCCAAACTGTTTCCACAATGTTGGGAGCATGAAATTGTCCAAAATGTCTTGGTATGCTGAAGCATTAACAGTTCCTTTCACTGGAACTAAGGGGCCAAGCCCTGAAAAACAACCCCACACTATAATCTCCCCTCCACCAAACTTTACACTTGGCACAATGCAGTCAGGCAAGTACCGTTCTCCTGGCAACCGCCAAACCCAGACTCATCTATCGGATTGCCAGACAGAGAAGCGCGATTCGTCGAACACGTCTCTACTGCTCTAGTGTCCAGTGGCGGCGTGCTTCACACCGCTGCATCCGACACTTTGCATTGCACTTGGTGATGTAAGGCTTGGATGCAGCTGCTCGGCCATGGAAACTCATTCCATGAAGCTCTCTACGCACTGTTTTTGAGCTAATCTGAAGGCCACACGACATTTTTGAGGTCTGTAGCTGTTGACTCTGCAGAAAGTTGGCGACTTCTGCACACTGTGTGCCTCAGGTAGTAACCTATCACGACACCACGCTTGAATTCACTGAGCTCCTGAGAGCGACCCATTCTTTCACAAATGTTTGTGAAAGCAGTCTGCAGCCTAGGTGCTTGATTTTATACACCTGTGGCCATGGAAATGATTGGAACACCTGAATTCAATGATTTGGACGGGTGTCCTAAAACTTTATAGTGTAAGTATTTGATGTCCAGTAGCAGTAGAGACCCACTTTGAATTTCCTTGTTGGCACTATTCAAATAAACTTACTTTGCCTTGCCCGGCGAGCAAATGTTATTTAATAAAAATCGACCAACGGAGCAAGCACCTGCAGACCAACAGACGGCCAGGTAGGTTCCACCAAATCCTCAAAGTAAGAAACCCTGCTAAACGCTCCTAAGTTGCTGCTTCCAACTTAAAAAAGCTGCTCTAGTCTGCTGCAAAACCTGCGTCCTTAACAATTCCAAACTTTAGAACTAAGTCATCAAATGATAGACGGTACACATGCATTGCCATCACAACCAAGTGGCCATGCGGGACCAATGATGCCTGAGAGCTCCACAAAAAAAACAAAAACAAAACAGCCAACATTCTCTGTGGGACTGAATGTAGCAGAGCCTGCCTGACAGTGCTCCTCCTCCCTCCTCTGCTGACCTTACTTCGTCTGTGATATCAAGGTTGATGCTACAAATTACTAAAGTAACTTAGAGTTAGGTCAGCAGAACGATTCACTATAGGCCTAATCATGATAGAGAGTAAGAAAATATTTCACTTTGGGATTGGCAATTGAATAATAATCATTGCAATATAATTTTCTTCAATAACAATATAACAAATGTTTAATAAATGCTGGATTTAATTATAATTAGGATATTTAAGGAAAAGAACTGAAAAAAGATTAATACTTAATTATACGTATGCATACATGCTAAAAAAAGTAGTAGTATAATTGTTTTGAATATTCTGCCTCGGATTTGTTAAGTGTTCATTAAGTGTCATGTTCTGACTGTAACAAATAGTTCAAAACCACAATTAATCGTCTGGTCTCAAAAATCAGCCTTTATTACTTTATTTATGATGAACATGTTTGGCCATATCGCCCAGCCCTAATTTCACTTGTGATTCCTGAGAAGCTCTCAGTGGCTGACTGGTTTAACTGAAATTCTTCTTCTTTAGATGAGCCTTAGAGGAGAGAACAACATGATGACATAGTTTCTGTATGTGAAATAGTATGCGGCCACTGTACACAGAGTCAAGCAACCTTCAGATCGAGATTGAAGTAATTACATTTTTAATTACTATATAATTCATTTGGTAAGCAACTATTCTGAATTGTGTGGGATGGTGTCCCATGATTAAGAAATCCAACTAAATTCTGTGATTTGATATAGTGACTATTTGTGATAGCCAGAAATGAGTGCGAATCTGCTACTTCCTCTTACAAAGCTCATTCACTACGATTATTTTAATGCCTGTAAACAACATCTCGCCACAAGGGAGCTGACCAATCATTTCCATGCAGTGGTAAAACCATGCAGAGGGTTTCAAAACTGGCTGAATTAATGATATGTTGAGTATTTGCTCACAAACACACTGCTGTGCTTATAGGGAGAAAATGTAGCACAGAGGTGAAGTCTCCTCCGATAAAGCAAAGGTCACTAATACCATGAAATTAAATGATCTGTGAGGCAATAAGATGACTTTGTCGTCTTCAATATTCAAAAAAAAAAAATCTGTCATTGATAAGATACATGCTAAGTATAAGTTCCTCCGCATCTCCTCTTATTTTAGCATGTATTAGCTCAGAGTAGACAGTCTCACCTTGCTGGACACCAGTTTGACATTCCCTGAGGCCAGAGCCACTGCAGTATCGGCCATAACCTCTGCTTTGATGGAGCCCAGGCCTCCCGTGGCACTGGTCTTAATAAAGCTGTCCAACACCACATCCAACAGGTCTGTTATCTGAAGACGCAGCAAGAAAGTAAGTTCAAACCCAGAACACATTTTTACTTTTCAAGCTGTTGGTGTGATAGACTCACCTGACCCAGACTGCCCCAGATCTTGGCCTGGATAGAGGGATACATCTGCTTTTCATTGATCGTCATGGTGATGAGTTTGTCCAAAATGGCAGTGACACGCTGGCGCTTGGCATCATCATTGTGCTTACAGAAGCGAACTAGGTTGAGCAGCCACGGGGTCATGTACTCCAGGCAGAGATGCTTTAGCTCAATACCTGAAGTAGAAAAACACAGCACCTGGTTTACTTTCTAATTTAAAGGTCATTGTTGGGTCAATGGCGAGATTTTCTTATCTTTGTCTTACAGTAGTTCATACTACTGAACGTTATATTGTTCCACATGAAGATCAGTTTTACTCAGAATGAGTTGTGTAATGCTTTCTGGAGGATCTTTGTCATGTTTGAGGAAATAAACCTGATGATTCATGACAGGAAGTCAGTGTTAGAAAGATGCAGGGCGGTTCTAACTAAATGACTCTGGTCGCACTATGGCAAATGTAGGATCCTGTTTAACACACGATAAACTTTTAAAAGAGAGCAGGATGAGCTGAACAACATACAAGTGTAATGAGAGAATGCAGTTGATCATAATCAACTAAAAACCATGTCTGGACCATGACAGTCAACCAGAAACACTAGCAACACATTAAAACAATTCTCCTCTCTTCTTACAACTAGCCCAGCTTGGGGCTGAACAATGCAACCTTCTGACACAGTGGCAGCACGACACCTACATCACATAATTTAAAAGGCAATATTTGGAAAAAAAGGGATTTATAATTGCCTTTTTATAACGTCAAGTGCTTCCAAATACGTGTTTGTCCTTATTTGCTGTTTTTAGTCTCCTTAGTTGGCGTTAGACATTAAGGATGACAATATCAGAAGTTGGGTCCAAACTGGTTTGGTTCAGCTGTATATAAGGAGCAGCATGGCCTCTAGAAGCTGCTAGTAGGACTTATAGATTCTTAGTGCTGGTCTCACATGAGAGACCAGTGTAGTTTGCACTCCAGATGAGCCGATAACCATTTAGGTCATTAATATGTGATCTACTAGTAAAATCCCCTGATGTGCTCAACAACATGTCTTGCATAAACCCAGAATAATATTTCAGTAATGAGTATGAGTTATAAAGTGACATGGCTACATGTATATATGTGAGAGCATGTCTGCCAGCAGCTTACTGGACTTGCTGAAGCCTGAGATGCACTCCTCCAGAAACTCAAGCGTCAGATGAGGCTCGTTGGCAGCCAGAGTCTTGCTGATGGACACTATGAAAAGGGTGTTGTTAGCTGGGATGCAAAGGCCAGATGTCTCCAGTAGCTGGCCCTCTATCTTTAGGTTGAAGGTGCAGGTCAAAGCACACAATAGATTGTAAGCCGCTGACCTGGATGTAGGATGGACAACAAGTCAGAGCTGTTAAGCCACGGCAGGAGCAGTGCAAAAACAGCGTTAAGTTTTACTGTTCCTCAACTGTCTTTGTTACCTAGGAAATCTTAGCAGAGAAAACACCTTCTCCAGGTGGTATAATTTAACTCAGCCTCTGTGTCTACCCTGCTAAGAGATTTGAAATGTTGAAATCTACAAATCTGGATACAAAGGCAAAACACCAAACAGATGATCTTTCTCTGGAAAGAGAGCACTAAAATAACAATATTGATTTTACTTCTTAGTTTGGATTGTCACATCCACAGCAGATTACATATAACTTGTTTGGCAAAAAGAAAAATCCTTTGTGTCTCAATTAAATGGATCAGACCCTCTTTTCAATTCAACCCTCACTAAGCCGGTAAGTTGCTTTATTTTCAAGGTCAAAGAATCTTGTAAGAATAACTAAATGCCCTGCGGGACTGACCTGAGGCTGGGGTCAGAACTGCCCAGATTCAGCAGAGCAATGTTGAGCAGAGTGCCAGGAACATCTTTTGGTCGGATCTTGGTGTGCTGAGGGATGGAGTCAGGCTGTGACAGCTCCCAGCGTGTCCGGATATGGATGATGGACTGGACAATGGCATCACACTCCTGGTGCATGAATGTGAGCGGTGTGCCCTGGTTGGCCATGGTAAGGGTGAACTGGCTCTCATCCACCAGGCAAATCTCTTCAATCTCTGAGGCGTAGTACACATCATTGAGAAAGACGGGCTGGCCAAGGACACGTGTCCGCTCAGCTGAGGTCACCTGAACTGCAGTCGAGCCTACCTGATCAGCATAAAAACATACATTGTTTTAGGAAGGGCAGCCCCCTAAATAGTCATCTAAACCCTGGTCGATGAGAAGAGTCTTAATTGACCAAGTTTTTATTAGTCAGTTGTCGCTATTGCAACACGGACCTTACCTTATGACTAGAGGCGACTCTCCCCTGCTCTGTGTATTGAGCTTATTCGGATGTTTTTAACTAGTCAAACTAGCAACCCGGTTGAAATCACAATCCGAAACTAAATGGAAAAAATGTTTAATCTCCTTGCTAGTCTGTCTGACACATTCAGAACGACCACTTGTCGTTAACAGGCGGCTCGCTTCGGGCCCCTTGATATGAGTATATTTTAAAGACTCTCTGTAATGTAGCACAGCACTGTTACTGATTACATTGTTTCTCATCCCTGGAACTCAATTTAGCCCTGGAATGGGTTGAACTAACGACTACTTGTCGAATCGGAAAATCTACAGATAGGGCAGCACTCCTCTAATGATACAGCTAACCTAAGTAATTAGCATTTTTTTTTATAACAAACTGCTATGGCTGCATCCTCACCTTTATTGAGACCTTGGTGTCTTTGTGGGCCAGCTTGAGGGCATTATGGAACACTTTAAGGTCTTCCTCCAGGGTCAGTGTGGCTGCAGGCAGCTTCTGTTGGTCGGGTTCAATGTGCTCGGCCAGCTTGGCAGGAGAGTCAATGAACTGGAGCCGTTTGCTGCCCTTCAATCCCGTCAACAGCCGCTCATGGTACTTAGTGTACTCCCTCACCCAGGTGTTGCAGTTGTAGACATAGACAGCTGCTACGTTCTCATAGGCAAACCCAGGAAAGACCACAAACCACTTTGACAGGAAGTCGGTCTTAAAGCGATTGCTGGGTCCTACATGTGTTAAGTCTACTACTATCTCGTAGGGCTTAGCATAGTAGGGTTTGAGGGTGAGGAGGACATGGTAGATGAGCAGGTCACCATTGATCTGGCCTGTTTTGAACCTAAAGAAAGGAGATAAAAAAAAAAAAGACAAGGTCAAATTCAAATGCAGGCCATCTTTAGTAAAATAATGTGTTTGGGGTCAGTGTTGCTCACATAAGCCTACCTAAAATTGTTCATAGCAAAACATGTGACACGAATGAAAGCCATTTTGGTTTCTGATAAACGACATTTCTTTTTGTCTCTTTTTTGTAAGAGCTCGTCAGCATCTGTGGTATCAAACCAGAGGCCTTAAATAACCAGACCAGAAAAAAGAAAGGGGCTCAGGAAGTGAGTTCAGATCATCTCAAGAGTCTGACTGCAGCAGCTGTCTCCATCTCTCCACCAAGATCTCCAAATAAGAGTACTTCAAGTAAGTATTGCCTATACAAGATCATGTCGTTAAGTGAAGTTAGTAGTAGTAAACTTAATTGAAAAAATTTACTTTCTGGTCTGACTTTTTGCAAAGGCAAATGGCACTGAAAAGTACTTCCTTGATCAGGTCTAAAAGTGACGCAGTTTAGTGACAGTCTGTAAGTGATGCAGAAAATCTACATTTCTGAACTGGATTAACTCTTTCTAAAACATTTTCTTAATTTCAGAGCACCATGGAAGGCACAGGAACTTCTCTCTGGCTGTTTCTTCTTCTCAGCCAGCAGCTGTTCTGTCCTACTGACCTTTCAACCACGCAGCCATATTCGTCCAAAACAGAAGCTCAAGGTAGCAGCTCAGCCCCTGTCCTCACTACCATTAACCACACAATCTATCCTGATACAGACACCAATAGCACTCGTGCCGACTGCTTGATCGACACTGAGATGGGTCTGATTGCTATAGGCTCAGCAGGGGGGCTGATTGTCTGCCTGCTGGTTGCCACCATGGTATTGGCATGCCAAGTTTGCCACATTCACCGCCGGGTTAATGCCCCCCGAACCTCCCGGTCCAACATGGACTTGGTGAGCAGTGCGGGCTACTGGGGCAGTGACCGGCCGGAGGTCCAGGGACTGGTTGGGCCGTGTGATGCCAGTGTCATGCTTGAGGAGGTGAGAGCAGACAAGATGGAGGAAGAGAGGCCGGCTGAAATACGAGAGGCAAGAGAGGAGGCTGGGGCAGGACTTGAGGAAGCGGCCACGGCAATGGCTTTTGATCTTGAAGAGAAGGCCTGTCAGATGAAGAGCTCCAGCTCCAGGGACTACTGTCTGGAGGTTCCCAAGGATCTAGAGGACATGCCCCTTGTTGTGTGAGATGGTAACCACACCTTGGCAAACTCCAGGCCTAGATACTTCACTTAAGACAAACAGCAACCAGACAGTTCAGCTGATGTGTTGTGGTTCAACTCACAGGTTTCATTTATTGTTTTTTTCCAGAATATCTGACCTCACAGAATTGAACTAAAACCTAAGTAAAATGAATGGGCTGCCTGGGCATCGTCTGAGATGTTCAATTCTAGTGCGGATACAATACCTGAGTTTCCATAACCATACCAAAAAGGATAGTTTTCAAAACTTTAATTTAAGAAATATAAATACATTTTTTAAACATAGTCGTCTGAGAAATTTGGCTTCTTGTCTTGAGTGCCAAACATTATGTATCTAGTAATATATAGCCTAAATTTGGCAAAATGCCTTTAATAAGGAACTATCTGATTAAAGCATAAGTAAACAAGTTTACAAATCTGACAATGCATTCAATGTCAGTTTTGGTTCTGAACAGTTTTGGATAGACATTATTGTGGTTCAATACCCAGTCCTAGTAATGCATTTAACTTTTGATGTATGATGCTACCAGTGGAATTTCTTCTACACCATTAAGCAAAGTACATACAAATACTCTGTTTACAATTACAAATATGTGAGTTGAAAAAATGACAATATTGTGATAAGAATAGTGCTACTGCCTGTACAACTCCACCTTACAGTTCCTGGCCAAGTCTTTGGTCAAGAGCAATACTGGAAAGAGGTTTTCTTTGCCAACTTACGGTATGAAAAAAGAAATGAATAGTTTGTTAGAATTAGCTAAGTAATGGGAATGGTAATGGACAGTACTTGTCCAGCGCCTCTAGTCTTCCGACCACTCAAATGCTTTACAATACATGTCACATTCACACACATTCATATACTGATGGCAGATGCTAAGGAGCCAACTGCTCATCAGAAAGAAAATAATCATTCTCACACTGAGGGGACAGCCTTCAGGAGCATTTTTGAATTCAGTATCTTGTGAACTGGAGGAGCCGGGGATCAAGCCACCGGTCTTCTGATTAGTGGATGACCTGCTCTACCTCCTAAACCACAGCCACCCCCAGACACATCTCTGTTAAACATCTTACATGCAACATTTTTTATTTTTTTTACACACTTGCTTAACAAATTCAACAATTTAATTCAACAATTGATTTGGCTGATTTTTCTTGTTTTACAACACAACACAGTGGACACAATAATAAAAGCAACAGACAAAAAGGTAGACCAACAACATGTAAATCAGATCTCTGATCTCTTATATCTTACACCAGGGATCTCATGTGCTGTCAAAGCCATGTTGAAATGATGGTCAGAAATTTGGGTATAATGTCTGCTAACAGTCCTTGTATTAATACATCTCTATTGAACTTTGCTTTAGCTGCCTATGATCTCTTACCTGTACTGCAGACTTTCTAATACTGATAATGATTAAATCATTTTTTTAATAAATTGTTTTTTTGCATTGTGTCCACGTCTTGTCTTTCAAATCAGTATTTATATTTCAAGTCACTATCCCTACATTTCTATTGGCTTCTTTAGGGACTTTAGAGTTACAAAAAAAGCATTGAAGCATAATTGTAAGTAATTAATAGCCAGATGATATATACAGAATTCTAGGTGTGGTAAGCAGTTGCAAAGAAATACAGTTGAGAAGGCTAAACGGGTGCTTCTCTGGCCATCTTTATTGTCATTGCATGCGTTCATACAATGAAATTCTGTTGGAGTAATTTCATCTCTAATTATTGTTGTTATTGACTGTGGTTGTGGCTGAATTAGATTGAGGTCAGCAGGGACAATGCACATTATAATACATAAATAAATTTATAATGCCAGAATTAACCAAAAGGCTATTTTAAACCCGCTGTGCCTGGACAGGTGGTAATATGTCACCCTAAAAAGACAAAAGGATTACTCTATAAATAATACACACATTAAAGCAAAACCATAAACACAAGAACAGTGGGTCAACATCAACAGCAGCACACACAGACACACAAGCCGAACTGTCAGACCTTATTACAAACAAGGTACAATAGCCACAACACTCACTGTCAACTTTATCACTGTCTCACTACGAGCAGCTTATTTTCATGTGATCTCACTGTACTTTCTCCCAGGCAAGTTCAGTACAGAGTTGGGCTGATCAATTTTGGAAAATAATCTAATGCGATTTTTTTTAATTTTTTTTACCAATATTGCGATTTAATATGCCATTATATTTTAAGCTCTTTACCTACTATATTATTCAAAACGGACAAGCAGTAAATCAGTGTGTAGTCTGACCAACACAATGTTAGATAGATTAAACAAACACTTTCTTGTGAGTCAGGCCTGTGTTATGATGAAATTAGGTGATGCATGAATTATTATTATGAGCAATGGTGGAGAAGATGTATCAAATTATAATAATATGTGAAAGATCATTTGAGAGTCAAGTCATGGCATTAAATAATAGGATATAATATCATTAGGTCGGCCTACGGACCGCAAGAAAAACACAGTTCACCACAGTGTGTTAGACAGTAAGCGCTAAATACAAAACCCACAGTTCAACAATCAATTAATGCGCTCTGATCTCAGTTCAAATCTCCCAGGAGTCCATCTTTCTGTATCCCAGTAAGCAAACAAAAAATACTCAGTTTGAGGTTCAATTCAAAAGTTGGTCAACGAAAATAAAAACCAAGTGACGCGTCTCGTAGACAAGCTTAGTAATTCTCCGTTAACACCAGAGTTCCCCTCCCCTGCAGCCTCTGATGCTGCAGCGCACCGGCTGTAACCAGGCTGTAAGTCGGGACAGACCGGGCCTCTGTAGGACTTGTGCAAAGATATTTCCTGAGCTGACTGGTGGCTGTGTGTTTGACGCAGGCACCGATCGCCACAACAAACTTTTTTATATTTTTAGGCTCAGCTACTTAAACTCTAAGTAAAAACACCAAAGGATCAAATTGTAACCTCCTAAGAAGTCGCGCACTTGGTTAAGCATCAAACTCTGGAACTGTACTGCACACGTCACACTTCCTGTACATGAGGCAAGAATCACTCTCAACATTTCAGAAGAGAAGCCCAATGCCCCTAGTTCCTGCTGTCGTCAAGGCACATTGTGCCAGACTGGCAACAGCACAAGATCCTACATCTATTGAACTTTGAATAGATCCTGGAACAACACAGCTAACGGGTTACTGAAGTTACCCGTGCAAAGTCAATGGTGAGTACATTTTAATAATTTGAATTCTCAATGTAGCTTTAGCTTCACCTAATGTCTCAAGTGCTTTGGAATGATGCTAGAGCCAAAAATGGGGTGAAAGTTTATTGAAACTCTATATACAGTATATATTCAAAACTTAACAGTGACAGTCATAAATAAAGCCCCTTTTCGATGTGAAGTGATAATGAAAAAGCTGATAAAAATAATGAGACAAAAAAAAAGGTAGCAATGCAAGCTCTTACATTCTTGATTAAACTGAAAATCTCCTTTAGTTGAAGATAATTTTATATTGTAAAATGTAACCAAAGACCAGTGAAATGTCCATTACATGAAACTGATTGTAGTGCTTTAAATATACCCAGTATGTACCCTTGAAACTTATGTCTATTTAGAGTTGCATTTTGAGGAAATGATGCAACACCAGGTTACATTTCACAACACTGTCCCTTGTTTGCTCACTCGCTTCAAGTATTTCCTCATCTGTTTCAGATTGTATACATGCTGTGCATCTCTGATTAAATAACTTCCTCTGTTCTAGCTATAAAGATACAGCAACTCGCCAGAAGACAGAAAAAAACAATGACCATCGATTTCACTAGACTCATTTTCATATGGCTGCTGCCACTGACAGGAAGCAGCACAGTAACATCTGGCCAGGATCACAATTTCACTCATGTGACGGCAGGTGAGGTAGGAAATAAGCTCACTCACGACCAGCTGACAACACAGGAGTTGTCAAGCTTAAATCCACTCTCAGAGGTCTCAGGTAAACATTCACTGCAAACAACTCCAACAACGCCTTCAAAGACATTCTTACCAAATATTCAAACAGCACCAACTCCCAATCCCATATCATCTCAGCTAAACAACTCCATAGTGGGCATCAATTCTTCCACAGAAGTCACAACATCAGCAACAACGATGGAAACTAGTCACGGCAGTAACCCAACCATAACTACAAGAGTACCTCCAATGCTAAGCAGCTCCACCCAAAGCCTAGACACAGGAAAAACATCGACCTTCCAACTCACCAGTGATAAAATGACACGTCAAACACAGTCTACCAACCTCATCTCTACTACAACCTCATCTACCAAACATGTTGACAGCAAGTCTACAAGTACAAGGCCAGTCACAGGTGGTGATGCTACACAGTCCACAAAAAGTTCAATGGCCATGACAAAGACACCATTCACCCACACCACCAGGGCAAAGAAAAGACAAAATTCTCTAGAAAAAAAGGCAAAGCCCAAACAGGAAACAACCCACAGTAAAGCAGTAGCAGGACTCATAGGTGGGGCCCTGGTATTGATGATGGTAGGATTCCTGGTCATCTATATAAAAAAACAAAAGCTTCAGAGGCAGCAGATAACAACTACAGACTGGGCTGGCCCTTCACCATTTTTAGAGGGTGGAGCTGACAACGGCCAGGTAACACTGAGGTCATCTAACCGAATTTCTCTCTCTAGCTTCCTGCCTCTGAGGTTATCCAAAAGGTTGTCCCTGCTCCCGGAAACAGATGAGGAGTTAGAAGACATGACACCAGGTACTACGTTTGGAAATAAACATCAAGGGAGTTCATTTGGTCAAGTGGTGGATGAAAATGATGTACAAGAAGGCAATAATGAGACTGCTATAGTTGTTTTAGAAATGAAAAGCACAGGAGCTGCTTAGGGTCTCAGGTAACCCAAAGTCAACTCCCCACCCCCCATCGCCATGCATCCACTTCCATTGGTTTCTAGGCAGCAAAAGCTATGATTGAAACACAGGAAACTAACTTGTTTTCATTTGAGGAAATCATGACAAGAGAGAAGTGATGTTTATCTAGTTCTCTACTGTAGAGTGTAGCAGTAAAATATGAACACAGGTCGTCACAATTAAAGAAAGGAAAATATAAAGTATCAACAACATTTATTATCAATAACAGTAGGGAACAAATGGATTTTATTTATCGTGTGTGATGCACAGGGCAAAGTTGGAGTCATAAGTTAGGTTATTGGAGCCTTTCCTGTAAGTCACCCTGGCATTATAGTTATCTGCAAGGTCACTCCAGGGATTTTCAGCTTAGACCCCTGCTGTATTTTCTTTAACACAGAGACCAGGAGAGTGAAAATCATTTTCTCTGCCCTCTGTGTGTTGCTGTGCTACTGGGAAAAACGTAACCATAAGATACATGCAGACATTTTTTTCATCTAGTAGCTGATGAAAAAGCAGAAGGATATGTGGTGGTGAGAACAAACCGTGATACTTTCGGTGCAGCACAGAGGCCAGCATACTGTTTAACCCATGTTAATAGCTGTGAATACCACAGGCGTAATACCAATGTTTGCATTTCTACACTGGGCTTAGACTTATAGACTGCTTATAACTGAGTTTTGCTCCATCTTGCGCCAGTGGAAGTGTGGGCACCACCATCATAAAACAGAAACCACTGGCTACAGGACTGTTTGCCACAAACCCCATTTTCCCATGCCTGAGCACTTTCACCTCCCAGCTGCACCTTCTGCTGTCAGGGTCAAGTTCTAAATGAAGCTTTGAAAAACAATGAAACACACTGAAACTACACAAAATGAAAATGTCTGGGACATCAAAGCCATTCCAGGTGGATTCACCGGGACCTGTTCTATTAGCGTCTAGAAATCTAACCTGCATCAGCGTATTAGCAAAATGTACATGTGATGATTTTTTTGGTGTGATTCTGAACCCAGGTTTCAAGCAGTTTGTTAAGCATTTTTAATGAATTTCTACAATTACTACTTGTGCAGCCTCGTTTTGTGCCCTTAATTTGCAATTTAGAGCACATTAGAAAGGGCTAGAAGTGTAAGATGGGAGAAGGTACTCCCCAGTGCTTCAGGGGGGTTAAGGGTTAATGCTTATTCATATGTTAACTGTTATGTCCAAGTAAATGCTTTTCTGTAACTATTTTTTCATTTGTTTCTTATGTTGTATCTGAAGACAATTCTGAATCTTAACCAAAGAAAAAAGCCAAGGGAAGTTGGTTTCTGTCACATGTCTTCGAGTGGTTGTGGTTATGGTTTTGGATGTGATGTTAAAAACAAACCAATTCCACCTACCAAACAGTTCTACAGCTGTATATTAACTGGTTGCCTTGAATGAGTTTAACTAATAAAATATTGAAAACTGGCAGACAAAGTAAATGACTGATTTATTCAGCTATTTTAGCACAGCCTAAGTGATAAGTATGATAAGTCATACTTACCTATAGTGATTTTACTGAGACAGAATAGCATGGCCATGAGTGAACACAACTGTCGGACAGTACAAGAGTGCCATCATGTGTTTTGTTGTTCTGGTCAAGAACACTGATTATATAACGTCTAATTCAATAATATTATATTTCAACAACACGTCTCAAATTCAGTTTGTCTTCATTAAAAGCTGCCTTTTGTTTACATTATAATGCACAACAGATGTAAGTATAGCCTTTCATGGCAACCTTAAATAACTGTGATGATCACATTCAGGACAGGAATGATATATGTGTTCTTCTCTCAGTATTCTGATGTCAAGAATAAGATTTATTTGATATACATTTTGGATTAGTTTCCACTGAGATATTTAGTAAGCAACATTTTGTTATATTTAAAATATTCAATTCTAATCCAGTTAAAATTATTTTCAAATTAGCAATTAGCAATTATTAAGTAATGAAAAATAACTGATAAGAGTAGTAGTATCGATAAAACCAAACATAAAATTAACAATCACTCCCAAGAAAACGGCAGCAAGTTAAGTGTGTGTGTGCGTTTCAACGCATCCTGGCTAAATCTCCATCTGTCCACTGCAGATATACTTTCAACAACCTGGATGAGTAACTAGTATGAATGAGTGCATTAGTACAATATATATAATTATAACATTATATAAAAAGTATCATGTTAATTTAACAGTATCCTGTTAGTACACTGTCAATATATTAATTATATATAATTATTTAAAAAGGTAAACAGAAGAGGAGCTGTGCATAAAAACCTCAAAAATTAAAACCACAAGAGCAATAGTGCAAACGAATAGGAGAGTTAAATGTGGACTTTTAAACATCAGATCTCTCTCTTCTAAAGGTGTACTAGTAAATGAACTAATATCAGATTATGATATTGATTTATTTG